ATAAAGAAAATATTTAATTGTGTGCTGATAATTATGAAAAAATAGTGCTGCAATTCAGTGGTCAATCATACATGGGTAATAGTTTGGCTGATCTGGGCAGAAAGAGATCAAACCATAGCAGGCTTCTTCTGTAGGATGAGAAAGAGGGAAGGCTTTCATCTTGGCATATTCCTTTGGTTCAGCCAATCTTCCATAGCAAATCCTTCATTCATCACTCATTTAAATATGTCAGTCTATGCTGGTCAGGCTAAATGGGATGGATAATATTGTATCTTCTAATTAGACTATCACTACTACTGTCCAGTAAAGATTTTTTGAATTAATACCAGTAAAGATTTTTTGAATTAATACCAAGAGTGTCTTACAAACTTATGACCACACTGCTCAGTGCTGAGGCCTGCAGTTCCATCCAAAGGGATGGTTTTTTCTTCTAATCAAGTCCTATGAGAAAATTTGGGTTATTCAATTCATCTGACTCAGAAGCATTAAAATGGACAGGAAAAAAAAATTGTATGTTTCAGCTCTCCCAAAAGCTTTCTTCTAAGAGGGCCCCATACCAGCAGCAAAATCTCCTTCACAGGATACTGTCAAGATACCTGCAATAATTTTAAAATTAATTTGTTACTCCTTGTTGTTTATAATCTGTTTGGAGCAAAAAGCTAAAATTTATTTCCATTAGTACTCCAGCTCCTCCATCAGACACACCACGCCAAGGAAACTGCTTTTCCAACATAACATGTACACAAGGAGCATGAAACTCGATTTTTTAGATTAGCTGTATGACCAAGACATATGGTTGGGAACTCAGCTGTACACCCTGGCACTAAAGGTATTAACTTGGAGGATGATGGATGCAATAATGAATGGAACAGCACAGTGGAATATGCTGTGGAAGGGCCCTAATTAGCAGGCGAGGTAACAAGGAATCAGGAAGAATGGTGACATGAGAGAACAGTAAATCTTCCTGGGTCATGGATGTACCTGCACTCAGAACTCCTCACAGCACAGCCTTGCATTCAGACTTTTCAGAACCAAAGATGAGAAGGGGGCTTGTCCTAGGTTAGAATATTGGGGTGTATTCCATTACCACCTCGAGCTGCAATTCCTTTTTTTTTTCCCTTATCTTGTGACTCAGAGGTAAGTCCCTCCAGAAGGACCTGTTCTTTTGGCCACATGACTGATAAGATCACAGTGTTCTATTGTGAGATGCTCTGCCCAGAGGAAGGAGCCAAACGATGCCATCAAAGATATAAGCAGGGTTGTGCAGACAGCAAGGAGATCCCCTCTTCCAAGAGGAACAGCTGAGACCTTCTCTACACTGGACCTCCAGAGAGAAACTCCAGTCTACAGGAGCACTGCTGGGACAGAACCATACCTGCTACCACCGCCCTAGCCATCAAGTGTCAGGTTGTATCTCTCACTCTGTCAGTGGTTCTTCCTTCGTGCTATTGTATGTATTTGGTTCTTTGTTCCCTTTTCCTAATAAATTGTATTTCTAACTTAGAGCCTCTCACTAGTTTTGCTTTTCAAACCAGGACAGGGCTCTGTTTCCCACAAAATGGAGGCAGCAGCTGAAATCAAGTTAAGCTGGAGGGGTAAAATCTCCAACGAGGGACCAGTGCAGGCAGGCATCACAAGAGCAAAGAAATGATAAGGGGTTTATCATTCTATTATTAATATTTTCTGGTTTGACCACCGGGTTGCAAACCAGCAGAAAGAGGAGGCAAAATTCCCCATGAAACTTTTGTTACTTTGTTTTTAGCAACTTTCAAATGGAGATAGGGCTGCTCAAAGATTGATTTGGGCAATCCAGACAAGATGAAAAAGAGTTTGGATATTTTACCACCTTCTTTTCTTGTTCCTAGGTTGAACAAAACCTTAGATAAGATCAATAGTTTCTTTAGTTTTATGTTTCGGTTCCTTAAGGGTAGTTGGCTTATTGCATTTCCATTGATCACACAGACAGGGAGATTCGTCAGACAAACCATCTCTTTTCTCCTTTCATTTCCACCCTCCTCTCCATTTGAAATCAAATTACTTTTAAAGGAAGCTGGGGTCACTATTGTTTCTCATTTACATATCAATAGTACCTAATTCTGCCTTTCTGTCACTAAAGTCTTTTAAAATTTCAGTCCAAGAGAGGGGACACACGTTCCAGGGGAAAAATTCTCACAGCTTTTCTATCAGGAAAACTAAGTTCTGGCTTACCTCAGCCCTTCCTCGACCTGAGATGAGTGGGGTACACTCACCAGCCTTGTTCAATTAATATTTTAACCTCTTGTAGCCTCTCTGCAGCTTTGTTGTTCTTCTTAAATCCTTTGGGCAATCCTCATCAGATGCCTCTGTGCAGCTCAAAGTGCTGTACTTGTGCTTACAGCTAGCAAAGCAGCTGCTTCAATGAATTCACTTCTTGAATTGAAAAGAAAGTTGGAAAAAAAAATGAAGCCCAGGTCTGCTGCTCTCTTAATAGAAGTCTGACCACTGATTCATTAAATGAAGCTGGACTTGGGAGCCTCTGCTGCATTTAACAAGATGTTTTAAATCCTAGCTGCTGTACTTCCAGGTGTAAAAGTAACAAAACATAAGGGTGTGCTTGTCCAGGGGAAATTCAGAATATATCCCTACAGGGAGATCAGTCATATGCCATTGAAAAACTGACTCAATGATCCACAGTTAAACAAATCTTCCAAACCAAATGTCAGAAAGACCTAGGTATAGGATGTTGACATCTTCTGCCTGAGAATTAGTGTCATTCTATTGCTTAGACACACATCCAACTTCATGGTCCAAGAGTGAGAAACTCGTGTTGAAGCCACTAGAAAAACATGACCTCTTATGTAATTAATTTCCAGTTTACAAGAATGATTTCAGGGCTCCAAGTAGCTTTGGCTTGACAGATGGAAGCTGAGGATTAAATGGTATTTATGCAACAAAATCTTCAGTTCAGTCTGTCAATTACACACTCTTATTAATCCACTTGTTAGAGCAAGTAAATAGGACCAATTCTAAAGATCACTAAAAAGAAAAGGAAATAGCTTATAAGTATCCATTTTCTGGAAGAGATCAGTATGTATTTATATGCAGCTCCACTATAATCAATATAAGAAATTGTATTCTATTTTGATATTAACAAGTTGGGTACTCAGTGCATTAGGAAAAAATAGTGGAAATACTTTAAATCTGCCTGAATCATAGAAGCTGCAATAAGTGTTTGTATTATCCTTATAATAGAGAAATGGTGAAGGAATTATTAATAATGGAAATATTGATGTATCCTCCATCTTTGAGATAAATCATAACCCTAAACAACAAAAACAACAAAAAATAACTAAAACCCTCAAAAAACCAGACAAGAATATGTGACCTCATAAACACAACCCAGTGATCCAATTAAGATTCAGCTTTTCAAGGCATTCATAATGGAAATTTCAGAACTTCTTTACAGCTTTCAGGCTTCCTTGAGAGCCATGGGAACATTGGATTCTCTCACCAGTCACAAGCCCTCATATGTGAACTTGCTCTTGTCCTCAGTGGGTGCTTGTGGCCCTGATCAGTGTCAACAAAGAGGACAAGAAGGAACATAGAAAATAATTTCATACATTTTAAGAGATTTCTCTCCCTACTATTTTAAGCATCTAATGACATACATGAAGCAAGTTTGGTTAAAGACCTCACAGATGCTGATGGAGAAAAAGTCATTAGATATCAATGAAACCTGATGTGTCACTGGTTTTAGATCTTACTGTGGTTATCTAAGAAATCAGTGAAATCCTCCTCTGCAGAGATCATTTGGAGCTTTGTCATTGATTTCAGTCAAAGTACATTTCCCCCACTGTCTAAAAAGATTCAAACCCACTGTCTTGACCTGTGGTGCCTATTAAAAAGCCATTAGCACTTCTCAGGAGTGGAGAGTGTTAGATATAATTGCCCTGGGCATTGCACTCTCTTGATTTTAACTGTCTGCCGTTTTTTAATTCTGCCTTTCCTGTCCTGGAATTGATGTGTGTATAGTAAAGCATAGTTAAAACAGCAGCTGAATACTTCCTGCTACATTCTACAGAGAGGTAAAAGGATTAGTATAGAGCTTACAAAGATAATAATTTGAATGTCTTATTAATTAATTGTTATTTGTAATAATGACTCTTTCCTTAAGGGTCTTTCAGTATCCTTAACTGCTTATTAATGTTGTACAGATAAGGATTGCTCCCTAGTGGAAGAAATGAGGTGGAATGTAGAAGCCTTTCAAATGAAAGCAACAGGTTTGGAATAAGAAAAAGCAAAAAAATTAATCATTCAAATGAATGAAGAATTATGATCACTCAAATACAATTACCCGACTTTATCCTGCATGCTTAAAAACTGCCAGGAGATCTCCCAGACTGATGCCTGATGCATTTGGTACAAGTACAACCCTTCCTACCAACCTTATTTGATGTAGAATTCAGGTCTGTCTAGATCATAGTCTCAGGCATGGCTTGAATTCATTGACATCTGTCAAAAGTAGCCTTAGACTGGCTACCTCTGCTTGTCAGGAACAGGCAACTCCAAATGTAGGATTTTCATGGAGCCTCTTACATTTAGCCATTTAGGTGAATGCTCAGGCAGTGAGCCTGTACCAATGAGTATTCCAGTTAATTACTATAGAATAAAGCTCAAAAATGTCCATCTCACCTGCCAGAACTTTTATGACAAAACTGAGAAAGCCCTTAAGGATAAGTCCCTATATCATCCTCAAAACACTCCTTTCTTCAGCTCAGGGCTTTTGGCTGCAGACTAGAGTTTCCTTTTATTTTCCTGCTGAATGAAACCTCAGAGAGGGACTCTACTTTTTTAGCACAGGAGGTATAAGAATGAAGGGTAAAAGAATGAGATTCCCCAGAAAAGAAATTCTGGCTGGATACATGGGTCTGGAGAGAGCTCAGCAGTGGCCATCTCCTCCATCCAAGCTCATGAGATGTGCACTGGGAGGGTGGCAGAGGGTTTCTGAAAGGTTTACTCACCCTGTAGAGGCCGTGGCTGCAGCTGCAGTAGGTGCTCTCCATGGTGTAGCTCCTCAGCACCCCCATCTCCTTCCACACCACCACACGGGCCGTCGAGGCCCGGGACTTCTCCACCAGGAAGCTGCAGCTGTTCATGACGAATGCAGGGGCCACTTTATCCAGGATTTTGGGAAGAGTCTATGAGAAAATGAATTGCACAGATGTGCACGTGTTGATATCATACACACACACACACACAGAGAGAGCTGTGTTTTAATGTGTCCATAATCAAATCTAACCATATATACTGACAGCTCCAACTGCTGCATTACTCTATTCCATGTGAAACCCTCAGATTCTAACATTTGTTTTATTCCAAAGATTAGAATGCAAAATTTCTGTACACTTGACATATCTCACTCAAAATCAAACATTTGTAACCAAGCAGTTTGGGCGAATCGCTGGAATCAGTTTTGTTCTCAAGCTGCTTCAACCAACCTACACCTTCCTGTTGAGCCAAGAGTCACAGATCAGTGCCTGACATCCCTATTTTCCCCTCTACAGCTCTATTATATCTCCTCCCACCATAAATCCAGGGTCTGACAAGGGATTGAGCCATGGGAAGAATTTTGTCTGAAGCTGGTATAGAGCAGAGAAAGGGGATCTGTTTTATTGTAGAACATCACATATAATTATGTGAAAATAAAGCTCAGCATTTAACTAACTTGCATTGTGAAATAAACCAAAATATTCCCTTCCAGGTCCAGACAATGTATTTCATACAGTTCACTTTAAAAAAACACAATAAAAAGTGATAATAAAACCATAAATATTACATCTTAGCCCTGGGTGATTTTCTTACTCTCAAAATCATATTTCCCAACAAAGTGTATAAACATGCCTGAAGTATCAAATATTCCATCAGTGAAGAGGCAACAATTACTTAGTCATTACAGAGGGCTAGATGTGTTATTTTTATACTCCATAAAAATAGATAACAGCTACATAGAGCACACCTAGTGCTAATGAATGGACTGGACCATTAGATACACACATGCCTGTGGGTTATGTCATGTGTGTCTGAACTTCAGTGCTGCTACACCAACCACAACATGTGCCAAAACACCATTTGATCTGCCTAGAGGAGACCAGGCAAGATTAGGATGTTCATTCCTTCTTTTATGACAGTTTTCTTAAACACCTGAACTGTATGGAATCCTGCAGAAGGAATTCCCACATATTGCTAGTGGTATTTACCCTTGAATTTCATTCAGTTTGGGTAGTGAAAACTAACCAGCTAATTTCACTTTCCAGTAACCATCGTTTTCCCCAATTAATTCTGAGGAATTGTAGTTCTGTTCTTTTGGGCTTCACATCACTGTATAGGAATATTTGATTTAAAAGTGACTGAGCAATGTTCTTTCCTAAAACATGCTTGATACGAGTGATACATGTTTGATCTAAACTACTTTACAAAATCTCTTGCAAACTACTTAATCATACATATCTTTCATTTATACCTATATCATTTTTCAGTGTATTTTGGCCACAGCCATCACTGGTCTACTCCAGTTCCACAAGGTCCATTTTTCAGATGAAAAAACTGAGGCAGAGAAAAACTAGAACAAAGCAAAAAACTTCACTTTAAATCTGACACCACCTCAAGCCTCAGTCTAAGTCAAGATCTCCAGTGTGTTACTAAGAGCTGCAGCACTCTTTCCTTTGGGCATGCTGAACAGAGAAACCTTGAAAATTCAGTTCTTGCCTTTAGTAAAGTATCCAACATTTCTGCACTGCCTTCAGCCTGCTACTTACTGCACAGAGATCACAAAATTGTATGGCTTCATGCACAGCTTCCAGGTTTTCCTGGATTTTGACTGAGAAGGAATCAAAAATATGCAGCAGAACCATAGCACAACCATGAGACCTAGTGTAACTGTATGTGAATGGTATGTGCCCTCATCTGAACCCATACACAAAATTTTGTAAACTTATCGCATCAAATACAATAATCAGAACCCTAATCCAGTTTAGCTTTTTAGAGCATTTCAAATTATATGCATAATCAATCTTTTACTTTTAATTAAATAAAAATACTGGCAGGTAACAGTAATGTCTCTGTACACAGGACTCATTTAGAAGCATTAACAAACCCAAATTTAATATTCTTTTCATTTTACCAGCATTCAGTGGATTTCACACTAATGGCTCTTTCTTCTCTATTGATTCTTCTCATTAATTTTCTTTCAATAATATATTTTGTGTGAAAACACATCCTTTAAAGGATGCTTTTATGATAGTGCAGCAGTGTGACTGTGTTCTGTGTCCCTCGCACAGCTGGATTTATCACGTGTGACAGCAAAGGAAGCTGCTCCACTTACTGCACCCTGTCCATAAACCTCCAATCCCATTCAAAAAGAATCGAGTTATATTTCTTTACTAATGTCCCAGCAGAGATTGCTATCAAAGGGGCCTGGAATGTTTATCAAAAGGTTGGGATTATGGTGCCAATGCTGTGCAAGTCACCCAAGGCCACCAAATATTAAAGGCAAGGAGGACTTTGACTGTATATTGCCAAGGGCTACAGCTGAATCTATAACATATGAGGCAAAGGCTCTTCCAAAACCCATCATTTTCTTGAGGTATTTGGTTTCTGTTCCCGTGGAGAAAAATCAATCATGGAGGGTAGATTAATTCCCATTACCTAGAGGAGGCAGGAGAGAAGCCTGTGCAGAGTGCAAGGCAGCAGCTCTGAGGCAGGGTTGGGTGCTGCCAGCTGGAATTGCAGATGTGTCCCCATACAGAACCAGTTTCCCCAGCCTAAACAGGGAGAGGGTGTTCCACAGGCTGCATCTGCAGCAGGCATGCATCTCCCATTCTGTGCAAAAGCAAAGCTTTGAGTCATAAAAACCTTTTTATGGGCTGCTGCAGAGTGTTCTTGGGCAGCCTTGGAGCTTCTCTTCATTGTAGATTCAGGTCAGGCTCCACATGCTGACAGTAACATTTGAATTCTCTCTGTGCAGCTCAGAGCCCTCCTCAGCCTTTGCAAGCCCCAGAATTCAGAAACAGCCAAAAATGCCCTGGCTGTGGGAATCCTCCCTGCTTTCCTCAGGATCAGTGTTTGTCACAGGGACCCCTCACAGCCAACGCTGGGGCACTTTCCTCCAGTAAAGCTGCAGTTTTTTTCTGTGCAGCTTCATAAAATAAGCATGAAAAACATGAAAAATCTCATTGAAGGATGTTGAGTATTTATGATGAAGTAGCAAAAAGTATACAGAGGCATAAACTGAGAAAGACTTTTCAACCTCTTTCAGGTTTCAGTGATCCAAGCTGTAACTCTATAATCATTTTAAGGCCACAATTATTAGTTTTGTGAAATTAACATTTTTTAAGACTAGAATTGGACCGTATAAATTTATTTCTTTTCCTGAAAAAACCTATTTAATAGGAAAATATCATTTAAACAGATACAAGAAAAAAATACAGATCAGCAGGAAATCTAAAGAAGAGTTTGATGAACATGACATTCCCAGGAAGTAGAAATAAAATAGATTGTAGATTTTTTTCTAATTCCAAAAAGAAAAAAAAATATTCTTACACATGACACCAAATATGTTCTGGAGATAGCTTCACTATGATAGATTTGTTTGGCATCTGTTGAATTATCTCATGTTTTCAGTGGGACCAGGAGCATTTTGTGATGAAGAAATTCAATTGAGTAGGACTGTTGGACACCATCATCTTTTCAGTTAACATTACATAACTCCCATTTATTTTCATACTATGGGTAGGAAGATGAGGACAAAATTGTACGTATATTTAGAAATTATAAAACACACAAAAATATCTCTGTCCTATTAGCCTGTAGCCAAATGTTATAGTGCATCGTTTTGCTGAAATAAAATAAATAGCAAATACACCATCATTTGGTGGGTCCCTAATATCTGGTGCATGAAGATATTACATGTGACTCAAAATTCTCTGGACCATTATTCCCCTGGAACAAGGAAAGTTTGCACCCTATTGCTAAAATTTCTGAGGTGACCTTATCTTAAATATTTTAAATATATAAGGACATACAGAATGCTAATTAAGGAAGGAACCAAGAGGACCTACCCTGTAGCCAACATCTTCTGTGACAACGGCTGTGTCAACCATGCAACCTGCTTGCCACAAGGTCTCTTTAATGCTGCAGCCATAGAGAAACACATTCTTTTTCTGGGAGTGCCCATGGTAATCACAGAAGACCTAGAGAGAGGAAAAGATAAGGCAAAATGTTGGACATTGGAGAGGTTTCTTGGTTCTTCACAATAAGCACTACTGGACTATGGCAGGGAGGTGTTAATGCTTTTTGGTTTTTTTTCAGGTCTCTTTAGAGTAGCTTAGACTCTGGCTGTGCCTTTGACCTGTGTCAGGTTTCATTAGTCACTTGTATCTTGCTTTATTTATTTGATCTGACATGATCTCAGGGGTCCAGAGTCAAGCCTAGTGCACTTCTGTCTGCAGCAGAAATAAACATGACACCTGTGTAAGAATCTATGGCAACTCAGGAACTTAAGGGTTCATGAGAACTCCTGATACCATGACAGAGCAATTTGTCAGGCTCTTTCTACTTCTAAACTCCAGCTTTATCCTCATGAGACTTGAAATCTATGCCTTCCCAAATGATTAATCATTGCTTTGCCTTCTTTAAATTAAAAACCTATGCTACATAATTTTCAGGAAAATATAATTGTGCAATTGTATTGCCAGACCTTTGCATGAATTCCTGCAAGTCAAGCACAGAAAATGACCCATTTTCAAGGCAAATAATCTCATTCCACACTAATTTATCTGTCTATCCAATCCATCTCTCATGTCAGCTGTCATATAAGCAAGGCACAAGGCACATTCCCATTTTAGCGGAAGTTTTGATTGCCTTTATAGGCAGATATTGATTCCCATGGAAATGAAAATCACAATTTAATGACCCGAGAGGTAAATATTGACCCAGGTCTTAAAGAATAATCAATCTCAGTGCCCTCTGAGATATGAAGTCGATGTACACATGGCTGTTACATATATTCTCCATGTCTTAATCAGGAATATTCAGAAATCTGTCAATGAAAATATAAGAACCTCTAAAGAGAAGGAATTATTTCATTTTAAACCAACAGCATTCACTGTAGAGCAGAAAGGAGCTTCAAGATGTTATTGAAACTGTTTTCCAGGACTTATGTTGGAGACAAACGAATGTGTGTAGGAAGATAGAGAAAAATTATGGACCCACATAGAGATGGGGGAGAAATATGGGGTGCAAAAAATAGAATTATAGAATCATTTAGGTTGGAAAATATCTCTAAAATCATCAGGTTCAATCATTAACTCAGCACTGCCAAATCCACCACTGAACCCCATCCCCAAGTGCCACAACTGAACATGTATTCAATACCTCCAGGATGGCGACTCCACCACTGCTCTGGGCAGCCTTTTCCAAAGCTTGAAAACCTTTCAGAGAAAGAATTTCTTTCTCATATCCAACCAAAACCTCCCCTGGCACAACTCGAGGCTGTTTCCTCTTGTCCTTGAGTTGTCACTTGGGAGGAGAGACTGACACGCACTCACTGTCAGCCTGTCCAGGTCCCTCTGCCTTCAGAGCCTTCCCACCCTCCAGCAATCAACACTCCCACCCATATTCCTGCCTAAATACATAGACAAGAGGGGAGAAACAGATGGAGAACATGAGCTTCTTCTACCAACTGTTAGGGCAAGACTTACCCTCGTTTGCTTATTTACCAGCTCCACAGTAACTAAGTTTAGCTGCAGCACGTCAGGGAGTTTATTTATCTGGGAATTGAGCACGTACATTCGCTCAGCTCCTCTGACACTGGGGGGGCTGAGGCACACATAATAACCAGTCAGATGGACAATTATACACATCCCATAACTTACATGCTGCTGCTTCCTTTGGTTTCTGTCCTGTCAACTTCCCTTCCCACACCACCATCACCTCCAGATGTTTTTGTGGGGCTGAGGGCCTGCAGGTTCCACATCTGGAGCATGTGAACAGCCACCTACCTAGCAACAACTCTGATCCACACACAATTATCCTGGAATGCCTTCTTCCAAAGAGCTGCATTTATTAATTCTCTTAATAATAGATGTTTTTCCAGCTAGTGTTTCATCTAAGCTACCAGCAATACACAGTCATAGCTTAGGTTAACCACAGTTACCACCTAGAATGTATTTCTATGAATATCAAAGAGGATTTTACAGCTTTTGTCTGATTTCAGAGCAGAAAACTAAGCTCAATTTGGTATCAATTACCTGCCAATTTACAGAATTACCACACACAAAAGACAATATATTATCTGTCTAAAATATTATTTATTAGAAACCATGCAGGGATGATCAGAGAGTGGGGCTGCCTGATAAGTAGCAGCTCTATAATTCTGCACCTCAAGAAGCCTGAAGACAGATCCTTAGTGACAGATCTGGATTGAGACTTTTTTACTGGTAAAAGATTACTAAAGCCATGTTCTGTAATATAGTTCAGGCCATGGAATCTTTCACTGAGTTTCACCAACTTCCACAGAAGAAGTGTCAGTGCCACTTTCATTCTATTTGCAGGTTGCATAGCACTGTATTGTAATTAATTTGACTGGATACTGCAGTCACTCCCAATGTTTGTACTCAATTATTCTCTACAGCACACCCTTCTGCCTGATTTTCACACCACAGGCTAGCTTATGTCTCACCATTCAGCCAAGGCTAAGAGATATTTTGGAGTCTGAGCACCCAACACAGAATTCTTCCTGGGATATGTCTGGGCAATCACTGAGCAGACTTGGCACCTCCCAGTGCTTTTTCCTCAGCCTGTCCCTTCCATATGTCTGGGACACTGAGACACACAAACCACAGACTCCCAAGTTTGCACTCACTGGGATATGACTCAACAACATGCACGATTTTTTAATCTATTTGAAGTTATTTGCCAGCACTGATCATTTTAAAGGTAAGGACTGCCTTCTAGCTCAAAAACAACTCTCCTTATGAGTCACAGAACCAGGTACGTTTTAAAATAAAAGAAAAGCAATATAAGTGGAAAGCAAGAAAAGCTGTTGGAAAAAATGAACTTTTTGAAATTTCTTCTCTTTTTTTGTGTCAAGTCTCTTAATAACATTGTGACAGGACATTAAATGGCAGGTTTGAGGTAGACAGGCTAAGGGTTTTTTTTCCTCCCAATGAGTACATTCTTGCAGGCTGTGCATGTTTCCAAGCTTGATATAATGACTTTGAGATGAAGCAAACACTGCTCAGAGACTTCTGGTCCACTGGAAGTTCCTTTCCCCTTTTAGGGCATCCTGCTCTTCACTAGAGATGAGACTCTGCAATGTCCCAATGCACCCAGTCTCTTGGTCTCATTAAGGTTACCATAGCTAAAAAGGCAAGCAAAAACCCCCATAATTTAACAGGCTGTTTCCTTGTTAACTAAAGAATTAAAGTGTCCTTGGTTTGAAGGGCTACTAAAGTTCTTTGCTTTTTCTCCTTCCAGCAGCTTTTCTTTGCTTTGAAGAAACTGCTTGCACATCCCTAGGATAAATTAAACCAAATGAGCTCACAGAAATAATTTGGCTGTCGATAAACTTGGCACCATAGGATCTTATAGGTTAAAAGAAACCCAATAAAAACAAATAAAAAAACTACCCCCAAACTCTCTTCTGAAGGAGGGAAAAGACATTTTTGAGGATGTATAAACTAAAATCAATGTATTCTTCAAAGGCAAAGAGAAATCAGTTTATGAAGTATGACATGCAGTCTGTGAGTGAGGGAGATGGTAAGATCAATAGTCTTCCTTCACTCATCAATGATGAAAACTTGTACTGAGTAGTCAACTTTATGCACCTGAATATGACAAGGAGGTTCATGCATTAAAAGAGGCCAGACAGCAAATTACAGAGTAAAACAAAACTCATCCTACGCTGCTATGAACCAAAGGAAAATGGTGACTCAGTTTTCAGCTCTGAATTTCAACAATACTCCTCAGCCTACAGAGATAAATTTCAGGGCTGTCAGCCTGGACAAAAACTAAATTACTGCAAGAATACTCTTAGAGAAGCTCACAGACATTTCCACCTTGTTTGGGGCTTTTCTCACCAAACCCAGAGGGATTTTGGTGCACTTGGACATTTCCTGCCTGGCTGTAGCTATCACCAGCAAACCTGCCAGTCCCTGTATCCACATCTGTTTGTCAATGCTTGAAGCTCCTTGTGGTTTTCCTCCTGTGTCTCAGAGCTATTTTTTCCTTCTGCTGGGCAACTGAGTGGATGGAATGGATGCCAGACCCGTCTCATTAATTTCTGGTAGCCCCCAAACCCAGTCCTTTCCCTATTACCAATGCATCAGGGAGATTCACACACTTTGAGGGCTGCTTCCTATGTTTTTGTGATTGCATGGGGTTTAGTACAGTCCATTTAGACTAAATCTTTTTGGAATTTCTCCTAATGCTTCTATGATGATAGCAATAACTTACTCAAAATATTTAGCTTAGTTGGAGTACTTTGAGGATATAAGGAGCTTTCAGAAATTAATTTTCTCATTTTTATTCAGGTATACAGAGATTCTGAAATTTGGAGTTGCCTGTTAGAAGATTCAAGCAGTGATAACTATTCAAGACTTTCAAAACAATTTGACAAGATGAAAGTGTAAGAGGACATGATGCTCCCAAATCACTCCAGCTCTGTAACAAGACTGTTCACAAGTAGAATAATCAATCCATTCACAGAATGACACAAAAGAACCTGGAATAGACTCACCAGAGGAGCCCGGCCAATGCTGCACAGGTAGTAGAGGAGACCTTTGGCATGGTAAATCGTTGGATGCAGCTGGGAACTGGGTGTCAGCCACTGCCTGTTGAGATCATCTCCACTCAGTGAACAACGAAGGCTGAAATCAGGAAGCAACACATCACAAACTGGCAGAACAATAGCTGATTCCAAAGCATTTCCAATCCTGGCAATCCGTGGCACAAGGACAGGGAATGTCAACAGAACACAGATGTAATGGTTTTGAACATTGGGCTGGAATATGGAATTAGTCCATATTATATTATTCAGGTTCTTATATTAATTTTAAAATTTCCTTTCCTTCCAAGGTTCACATAATTGCTGTCCTGCAAATAAATGCAGTTTTCCACTTACATAAGAAGGCACAAATCAAAAGGCCATTTAGAAAGAAGTCTTCTGAAACATTCTAAATTCTGTGCTATGAAATTCACACTGCTTGCATAGAGCACAGGCTTCTCAAAACCCCCAGAGCAAAAAGCACATCCAACTTCTACTCATTCTAACTGAAGACAGGCACTCAAATCTCATTGACCAGTCTGAAACATGAATGTACTTAAATGAGATGAGCTGGGTGTCTCATTTAAGCTTCTCTACTCACAAGAAATGTCTCTATCGAAAGCCCATCAAGGAGATCATGATGCCTGCTAGAGCATTATGTAGAACAATTACCCAGCATCATTGCAAAGGCTGGATAAAAAGCTAAATAAGAATCCCAGATTTGCACTGAGGAAACGTTTCCCTTAGTTAGTTACAACATATTCTGTTACTGATTCAATGATCAGTGGAAGATTGTGCAGGATACTTGACCATGTGGAGCAGTACAGCACTACAATTCAACTAATCACCCTTGTTAGTGATGGTGTAGATCAGAGCCTTACACTCTTCAAAGGATTTGCTGTAATTTGGTTGATAATTTTCAAACCACTGTGTGGTGATAAAATTCAGGAAGCCACTCTCCAGCATATGAGATATTGTGGTAGGTCTTCATCACCTCCAAACTATCTACTAGAATGCTTCCAGTGGCACTGCAAAATTGGGGTGCTTCTTGTTCAAAAAAGCTAAAATATCATCAATGCTGGATGAATTTCTAGCTATGGAGTTGCATCCAGCTTTGCTGCACCAAGCTCTTAGAACAAATTAAAATATAAATGTACTAATAGAGATGGGTTCTGCTGTTGTATTGATAGAGGTTAGGGTGTGCTGCATGTGGCATCCTGGGCATTATCAATGCCTTGCAACATGCTTGGAAAAAAGGGGTCAAAAAGCAGGAATGTTTTGGGTTGTTTTTTGTTTTTTTTTAATTAGGTGGGAATAATGGAAGACAAGTTAAAGATGGAAGACAAAGAAATAATGAGTCACTAAGAATGCTTCATATATCTTTAATGTAGAAAAATGAGGTCTTTAATGACATCTTGGGGTTTCTGGCAACATCACAAAACCTATTCCAAATTTACTCTAGTTTAAGTTATCTGAATTCCCTTATTTCCTCATAATCCATACTTTCCCTGCTACTCACTCAGCAAATCAGAAAACACTAGCAATAGCTAACACTTGGGAAGCCAGCAAATGCTGCTGGGAGGCTTCTGCCAAAAATTCTTTATGAAAACATAACAATTTCTGTTGTGTTTTTTAAGGGCTCTTTGGATAAAGTTACCTTTAGGCTCACCTCTTCTGATCTTCAGGACAACAGCTGCTCAGCTGAGTTTAGCAGCTGTATTTCTGCCAAGGATTTGTGTGCCTACACAGCTTCCCTTTGATTAGTACAATGCCACAGAGAGAGTCACTGAATTGCATAAAGAAACTCACCTTTCTCCAGTGTGACCAGAAAAAAAAAAAAAAACCAAATACTTCCTTGCCATAAGGTCGTGATGTTTTCCTCCATCACAGTTATATCAGAGAGCAAAATTAATTGAGAATAACAACAGAATTTTCATTCTGAAGGGAAGAATGATAGCTGGACTTGTATACCCATGTTTTAATACAAGAGAAAAAAAAAAACAAAAACAGAAGGGAGTCTTATTATGCCTGCTCAAACCATTCACACTTCCCTCTGCTAAAATGCCTTGGTACCCAGTGGATGAGTCCAAAATAAAGGGAGAAAAAAGCAGGGGAATAGAAATTTCTAAAAGGATTCAGTAAATACAGAGATTAATACTAAGCCACTGCCAAACTCAATTTTTATTTTTAAGACTAAACTAAAAGCTTCTAAAAATGTTGATTATTCCTTCAGCAATTATAAAGAAATTATATGTCACATAAGAAAAACTCTTAATTAAGTCTATAATACAATCTACCAATTCTGCTGCTCTGACATAAAATGTGACTTTTTTCAGAGGTGATTATGACAAGACAATCCCCAGCTCTGCAGTTCACAGGTGCTGCTGTGCTTAGTATTAATTTCAGAAGTATAATCCAACTCTAAAATAATAATTTGGAAGTCCTTATGAACTGTTTGGAAAGAAGGTATCATCTCTAAATAAAGCCAAGAGCTTGGAGACAAAGTTCAGCTTTGTCCCTTCAAAGATTAACATTTCTGCTCATTTAAAGCTTTAAATATTAGCCCTCAGCTTGGCTGTATCCACAGCTCTTAAGAACATGCAGAACACAAATTTAATTACAAGAGGCTGAATTTTCCCACCCTGCTCTGTCCTTCCTCCATTCTGCTAAAACCTGTTTGCTTTTGAACATGCCAATTCCCTGCCAGTCCTGTTTCTCCTTATCCCTTCATTCCTTCTCTCTCTCCTAATAGTGATGACATGCACAGATCATGGTTCTGCCTGTTATGCTCTGCAGCCAAGGGTGAAGGTAAAATATGAAGCTGATTTCAAATGCTGATAGCAAATAAAGGGACTGGAGAGACGAGACTGGCTTTGCATGTTTGGCAGGATTTAATGAAATTCACTACTCAAATCAAAGACCTTTCTTACAACACAGTTCCAAGCTATTATATTTCCTTTAAATGTTTTACATGTCTTTTCTCTTTTGCAGTATTAGGAAGACTACATGCCACCTTGGATGGGACTAGTGGCAGCTTACAAAACAATTGCCAGAAAAAATTCCAATAAGAAACACCACTTTCAGCGACTCAATATAAAGTACCTGAAATTCTGCTAATTGTTATGTATCTTCAACCTAAATGTATTACCCAGAGACATATGAAAAAAATTAAACTGTGATTCTCTTGTTCTGTTTGCTATAGCCTCTCTCCTCCTCTACTTTTATATAGCCAAGACATTTTGGGTTTGAGGGCAAAGCAGCCTCAGAAATAGCACAAAACTCTGCACAAGCCATGTATATGCATGGAGAGATCCCACCTGGTCCTAACATGAGCCTTGATAAGGTCAAGGGAACATTTCAGCTGACTGCAATAAGCCTGTGTCCCACACAGATACAAAAGTGGCAGGGGATGAGAAACACTGGAAAAACAAAACTGAACAGGGTTGCATAGTAAAGAGATTTGGGATAAGAATAATACACAAGATATTAGAAAAGAAAGAATAAAATGGAGAGAGAAAAAAGTCACTTTTTAAAGAAAATATGTTGCTGTTCTTGGAAGATAAAATACTTCCCAGTCTCCTGTCCATAACAGATAAAAGGAAAGACAGGAGCCATCATATTGAATGAATGATGTCAGGACTGATAATAACAGCACCTGGGGCACAGGCAAATATAAAATCTAAAGGGATGCATCATGTTTGATATGTAGAGAGAAGCATCACCATTCACTGTGCATCTTAAAAGCAGACAGCAGTACCAGTGTAGGATGAGAGTATCTGTACAAAAGGCAGCAGGCACAAGTAAACACCAAGATGCCACTGAGCAGCGTGAGGCAGTTTCAACCAGACACAGCATGCTGGACTTTATAAATAACAGCAGCCTAGGATGAAAACGGAAATATTTTTATTAAGATGTTATGGTCTTGCCATTCAGAAAACTCAGAGCAACGTGGAGGGCAAAAATATAAGATGAATAGAAGATCCTTTGTTTCTCTTAATTTTAAATCTTTCCAAGATCAAGACTGGTGATGGGGGGAAGCAGTAGCAGCAGTAAAGCCCTCCTTCATATTGTAATGAAGGGTGTCAGAAATAGAAACATTATTTTCTGGCTTGGACTCTGGCTTTATTCAAGCCCATGGGCTGAAATCATAATGGCAACATTGCCTCCTGTGATGCCAATGATTATTCCAGAAATGGAACATCACCAGAACAATGTAAATTTTGGAGACTTTACAACGAAACAGTTGTCATCAGCATTACTGTCGTTAACAGTTTATTACCTATCCTCTTTTTCCTTCTGATTACAGTATGAATGCAAAAATGTGTACAATAGAACCAGGCTCAAGAGCAGTTTACCTTCCCAACATAACAAAAACAGCTGGGAGTCCAGGAGTCCCTATTCCTTATCTCTTTTCTTCAAGTGTATATTTCATTCTTTGGTCCTAATCACACTCCCATCCTCACTTATGCATGACCTACTACAATGCTGATTGTCCTCAAACCTCATTTATACCACATTTGGTTTTTAAAAAACCAAACTGGTTTTTATCAGGATTAAAGACCACAGTTAGCATTGGAGCACCAAAGCAGGCTGGCCTTGTTTAACTGGCCAGATGATAAAAAAAAAGACCAGAAAATCAGCTTCTCATAAGAGATCCCCATAAAGTACCAAACAATGGTGATTTTCAATTGCACTGTGAAATGCTGCCTATTTATTTTACCACCAAGCCTTTAAGAGGAATTTTTATTACTCTCTTCTCTCTTTTTTTTTTTTTTTTGTGGTACCTTACACACACACACAATGCCAGACTCACATCCTGAGTGACACTTTGTGCTACCTGGGTGCCAACCAATTTAAGGGTGCCAATGAAACAACCTGTCTCATTTCAGCCAGTGGCTGCTGCACCACCCTCCCCTCCCAGCACTGACTGCAAAATCCATGATGCACAATTCTTCCTCTTGGACAAACACTATCCTGAGGCATCACTCTGCCAGTTTTTTCCTGCCTCCCTAGAGCTGAGCACTGATACTAATTAGGGTAATGAACCTTCAGCGTTTTACTCGCTGCGTTTGACTGATTTTGTCACAATGGACAATTCCTTGC